GAACAATAGGTGGAATTTCAAATTGAAATTAGGGCCCGTCTCAAACTTGACGATTTTCACATTTTCAGTCCGTGATTTATATGCCAAGATATTCACATTAGAATGCAACATTTTCAAAAAATCAAGGACTTTCCTCATGCTACTCTACTGTCCTTTAAAATCACAAATGAATTTTGACAACAAGCATTTTCCTTTTGATGTGCATCACTTGTCAACATGAAATATCCGAATTCATAATTTTTCTCGATTTTTTTCATACGTTTTGTTTTTAATTTGAGCAAAATTGAAAGGGGTCGACCCTATTGGAACTATTGGCTCCATTCTCGAAGCGTGCATTTTGTGTTTCTGATTTCTTTTTGCTAGTCGGTTGGCGATATATTTCGAAGATAAGAGTACTTTTTGCATTGCTTGCCTTACATTTTCTTTAATATTCTCGGGCATTGCTTAGTCTTTGCTTTTCTCTGTCTCTTTTCCTACGAATTGCGTTTCGCGAAGGCATATTGAATATTACAGATCATATACAGATCGTGCAAATGGAATTCAAGGAAATAAAAATTAATTATAACACAAAAACATCATTGAAACGCTTTAATCGTTCATATTACTTAACTAGAGTTTTCGGTTTATGTTGTTCTCCATTAATAATAATTGCATTCATTGAAAAGAAAACAGAATGCAAATATTAAGGGACTTTTTGATTGAATTCAACGATCACCGGGAACACACTGAGCGAAACGTTATTTACTGAGGGTCAGCTATTTTGGGCTTTAATGGTCTTCATTTAACATTTTTTGTTATGACTTTTCCGATAAATTATGCTTATGGAATTACCAAATAACAAGTGTCATTTGCTTGCATGTCACGTATTATTGTAAAGACGTATAAAATGCAAAAAGCACATTTACAGAAGGGCAAATTCGTTAGCTGTTATCGTTTTCTCGTCTATGAGTTGATCTTTATGCGTAATTACTGAATAACTGTTAAACATGTGTTTTAAGAATATGGGTCATCATACAAAATTAAACCAATTCATCTGGGATTTATAAAAATGGCTAATTACTGCTTTGAGTTCAATGCTATAACCGTGACGTTTTTCACGCGTGACGATTGTCACAGTTTCGCACTATATCAGTTCATAGATGGGGTAATCTAGTGCTGGTTATTTCGAAAATCCCTTTATGTTATGATATTGTTTTCTTGAAAATTGCCCCATTTCCAACAAGACTACTGTCAATATATGAGTAACATCATGGTCGTTTTTCACAAGCAAAACGGTGATTTTTCAGAATTTTTCAGATCATGCTCATTATAATCCAATCACAACTATTACCACGATTTGTAACACGATGGTCTGATAAACTGAACTAAATACTTTATAACTTTATAACGACCGTGACGTTTTTCACAGAATAAATTTTACACTTACTATAATGGGTATATATAATCGGTAGTAGGTGAGAAGCAAATACACTGCTGTCATCACACTATGACTGTATTTTTTTCATGCCAACAGAACCAAAATGAATAGATGCGACCCTTTATAACTGAGATATGACATGTTTTCACAGGCATGTTGTCCCGTTTCATCAACAAATTCACAACTTAGGCCATAAGAAGTAGATTCTTTGTTTTGCGTCCTGGCAAAATCCAAATCATGCAAGGGTACAAGGAAAACAAACACAAACTCAAGAACAAGAAAAACACAAACTTGTTTGCTGAGAAATGTATACATGTTATGGGCATAAAAAGGGATGACATACCAATTTGCAGTGATTACAAACACATATCTATTCATTTATACAATAAATAAACATAGCTATTATTCAAGGGTAAAAAATAAGAAAATACACAATGTATGCCAAAGTAATTATAACACTGTCAATTTTGACGCACATCAAATTATCCACCATTTCATCTGATTCTGATTGAACAAAGTGCGATGGTACTTTCAGACCCTTTTGATTGCTATTTGGATGTGTTTGTTTTTTCTGATTTACTCAAAATCGTGCATACAAGGGGACGCAAAACAAAGAATCTACTTCTTATGGCCTTATTCGCGAGTTATCAAAGCTATTTACAACCAGAATGATCAATAAGTATGCTGACCGAATTTAGATAAAGGCATTTTATTTTAAAATACATATAACAATGAAAAAAAATCATTTTCGTTTTAGCTATTTTCAATTACATAAAATATACCCATTTTTAACATTTATTGGTTTTGAATGAAATGACATAGATTTCAAAGCTATTTAGAAACTCCTCTAACCCCTAGGTTGTGTTAGTGGAATCGTTCGGATTCAGCGGAGTTTTAAATATCGCGGTTATTACCAGGGTCACTCAGATGAATTAAGATTGACCAGTTTTGATGAACGCAGATATTTGCTATATTGGAACTTTTAATAAATATTGGCAGGTTATTATTTAATGTCACTTTTTGTAATGAACAAAATGCTTGCCGAATGAGTAGCTATTTAAAATCATGAAAGCGTCCTAAGTATATATCACATATTTCATTGCATGTTTTACTGATCTTTTAACTGTTTTTGAATATTTTTAACTAAATGAAAATATATACGGTAACAAAATTAATTCCTGCCGTGGGAAGCTACGCCTTTTCCATCTCCACCTCCGGGACGCTATGCAAACTGTATACGTCATTCTCATGAAGTTTAACTGATTTATCTTTGTGGAGTATTGGATTCAGTAGTATTCGATTTCGGTCTAATCATGGGTTTTCGAGTATTGGGGCTCGAACAAGGGCAGCAATACTTCATATATATTATGTTGAGGACGGGGGTTCGTCCAGATGAAACACACAATGCAGGAAGATCATACCGCCGTATTCTGCATTAACCGATATATTTGGTTGAATTCTGCTCCAAGTCAGATCAAAGAATGCGTTCATAGCGTACCAATTGTACTTATATACTGTATACGTAAATCGTGAAATTAACGGGCATATCAGGAGTTCTACGATTGTTCACCGTACTTAAGTTTTAATACGCCTATGTTTGTTATCATCCCACTGGCGGATCCAGATCCATCTTGCAACCCCCCCCCCCTTTTTTACGACCCCAAAAATTGTTTTGCTCGAAAATAATTACATATGGCCTTACAAATGAGTCTTTTTGGGCATGATATGGCATTTTTAGGCCAAATTTTCAAAGAATGGGGTTTAAATTTTCATCTGGATCCGCCAGTCTGGTCAAAGTTGTTAAATCCAAAAAGACCAAATAATTGCGATATTGAATGTGCAACATATTACAGTACACCTCTCCCGATGAGTGACACGTGTTGCTAAAAACTATCCAATCCTGCACATAGAACGCATGCATGATACAAAAAATGCTGGGATTGAAATTGTATCGTAGTGTAAGCCAATTTAGTGACTGAATTACTCAGTTGGAGTAACAATTCCCGGGGAAACTTTCCCGGGGACAGATAACTATTCCCTCTATTGACTAAACCAGGTACTACTACTCCACTCCACCTTTTGAAAATAACTAACTCATATATATATAAATATATATACTTTTCTCTATATTGTTTTAGAAAACACATCAGACACTTCTTTTGTTCTTGGTATCATATGTTCGGAATGAAATTAAACAGCTATCCGGAAAACGACATAAACACAACGTGTTTAGGTCTCTCAATATTGTAACTGTACAAAGGAAAGTTTGGTTGATTTTAAAAAAGTATCTTGTTAATGAAATAAAAGGTTTATCTTAATTTTTATCTATTTTTTTTTTGGGGGGGGGGTTGTTTTAAGTTTTTGCATACTTTTTCTTAGATCAACCAAAATTTCCTTTGTATAACTATAATATTGAGAGGTCTAAGAAAATTTTCTATATGCTATTTTGTTCCAACAAGGTTCGGAAAAAGATTTTATTTTATTCTCAAGAATTGGTAGAAAGGAACAAAAAAACAATTGCACTAAAAAACAAAAAATGTTAACAAAAACAGTTATGGGCAAATTTATACAAGGAATAGTTTGGTTACATTGCCGAGTTGCTCTATCTACAGAATAATGTTTATTCATGTGAATTTGGAAAATACGACAATCTTTTCATATATACTCGATTTATTCAAAATTCATAATTGCACGGTTACAAATGGGCGATGGTCAAAGCATTGTGATAAACTGTTGGTGAAAGTTAAACTAGCCAACTGAAAGAATATCATTGAGCGAATCCTATTTTAAGGTATGACTTTATATAAAATATATATAAATAATTTTTGCATTAAATTGTTGCCAATCAGTCAACATTACATAAAGGACCATGTTTTTTACAGAATGTTTTCAATAATTGGTTTAAGAGAAAAACATTGTTGAATTCAGTTCACCATATCGATACCTATCCTTTGAATGAGAAATGAGTAAATGTTGGTCCGGATCCCACTCGTCCGAGCCTACCCCATGCACACAGATTTGGTTGGTCCGGATCCCACTCGTCCGAATCAAAATCGACCGAATCCCAATGGTCTGAATTCCAATTGTCCGAATCCCACTCATCCGAGCCTACCCCATGCAGACAGATTTGGTTGGTCCGAATCTCACTCGTCCGAATCAAAATCGACCGAATCCCAATGGTCTGAATTCTAATTGTCCGAATCCCACTCGTCCGAGCCCACCCCATGCAGACAGATTTGGACTGGACTGGACATTCGGCAGGAAACTGTAAACATTGTGTCACCCATGTGGCAAATCATTTTTTCCTGCTTAATAAATGGTGAATGACAGCTACATTCGTTCTACAAGTATGAAAATAGCATGACGTTTTGATATTTCAGGGTAACTCGTTTGAAAAGCGATGGTGGTGATTGAAATTACGATTTTAAGATAAAACCGCACCGAAATATTTGTAGACTTTTTGAAAAACTAAGAAATATACATCAGAATTCGAATTTTTCAAAACAGAAAAATATGTATAAATAATGCCTTCAGTTCCAATTCCCCCTGGTAGCATTTATATTGGTCTTGTATATGTCATACAATTAATATTTGAAACACAACTATTCGAGCTTATGATCAGACAAACATATGATGTGTACTTAAGGTAATAAAGCAACATCATACATTTGTCCGATTGATTGACAACATTGCCAGCATAGAACTCACGAAAAAGATTTATGTTTAAGGTTTATGTTGTCCTGACCATGACAGTTCAAAGTTTAGAAATTGGCATATTCGCAGCTAAATTCTCTACATCTGCAGCAAATCCAAAATCTAAGAATTTACCACCCATGACATGCGAATCCACCCAGCCTTGTCCAGCAGCATACGCTGATCTTGGAATTGTGGCTATGATGTTGGAACCGTCATTGCCTCCTGATGTCCGAACCACCCTTTTATTTGTCACAAATGTATCTCCAACTGAACCAGTGTAACCACATTCTATTCCAAGAAGAGCTTGAATCAATAAAAACTTTGGGAAATCGCCCTTTCCCCTGATTTCATGGGTTACGTACATTGGTCCGGCGGCGATCGTTGGTTCGGCACTTCTACTGAATCGGCTTGGGATAACAGACATCATCCCGACAATTCTCCCATCAGCTACCTTCATAGTGAACACGTGGCTTTTCCTGAACTTAAAAACGAAATGATTGTACGTTGGATACTCATCAACGGCGTACCCATCTCCCTCTTTTTGAGCTTTTACAAAGAAATCGTATATTGTTTTCAGTTCGTCTTCTTTCGCATAATCGACAACTATTTCACGTCCATCTAAAAGGGTACATCTCCGTTTTGTTGCCTTCTTTGGTTGACTGTTCACTTTGATTTTAGTTATATCTGGAGTTGGAACCACGAGCTTTGGTCGGATCTCTGTTTGCGAACACTGGAAGATATTGTATAAATTACATATGTTATAACAATTTTGGTTATGGGCGCACAGACGCAGCGCAAGCAAATACATGTCTCGGATGATATGAATCGCAGACCTCGAGCCAGATCCAGTCCTCATTGGTAGAGAAGCCTAGACTCAATAAAATAGTGAGTAAATTTATTGAGCCTAGAGATCAACAGGAGAAATCTGGAAGAGGTACTTGGTCTGAATCTGAAGAATCAGAGACATAATAAAGTTAAAATAAATCATTAAAAATCGGGGTGCATCGAAAAATGACAAGAAGGTTACCTGTATGTATGTAGGACGATGCATTGGGATGTCAAGAGATAAATATTTTGATTTATGAGCTCACAGTTACATTAGAAAATGTGCCTTACCAACTGTGCATCTTTGTTAAACCTTTTCATGACAATAAAACTATCAACGTAGCCAGAGTGCTTCAACTTGGTCACACAAGGCAGTCTCCCTAATAACTCATAGCCCTGTCGTTTGACCAAACTCTTCAGGCCCTTCCAATCGTTAGTAAGGTGCTCTCCAATGAACCCCTCATAACCCAATGTCTCAGCATACCTCCATACAACAGAGTTCAGGAAATCATTCAAGTACCCAAACGTCCTGTATGATGGATGCAATACAATATTCATATCACAATATATAGGGTTTACTCCCCTGTGAAACCTAGTAGGGGCTGTAAAGAAGAATCCAACAACTTTCTTGGATGATCGTTCCTTTAACACAAACGGTAATATTGAATCGTGACGCATCACGTCCACGAAATACTCTAGTGTTGGGTATTCATCAGCGCCAAAGCCAATTTCTTCATCAATCGCATCATTGATCAACTGGTAAGCCTCTTCTAGCTCAGCATCTGTTGGGAAATCAATATCAACGGACCCATCAACAGTGCAACTGACAAACTGTTCTGGTAAAAACGGGAAAAGGTCTTGATACAATGCACGTTTTCTATTTCTCATAATCGTATTTTGGTAGATAGATGTGTCCTTTCCAATGTTATATACGTGTGATTGTCACAGATCTGGAATAAAAAATACGGAATATAAATTGATATCGATGGATTCTTTTTCATGTACCAGAAGTACAAAAGAACAAACCGAAAGCATCCTTGCTGCTAGGGTATTTTATATACATATATGAATTTAAGCATATCAAGTCTTTGAAGAAGGATGACCAGTGTGAAAGAAATTATGGTATCCCAGGGATTATGGTCCCCCTAAATGCCCTTACTGGCCCTGATTGTGTATAAGATAATAATGGAAAGAGGTCACCATATAAATCAATGGAGAGTAGGACCATAAATTAATAGGACCTCCTACCCTTTTACACAGGTAAACTACGGGAGTTGTGTGGTTAAATTCTGTATCATTCTTTATTGAAAATTTAGTAAAAGCGTGAATGCATGTATTAATTCGATACACAAGAATGCTTTTAAATTCAATAATAATAATATCTTACATTCCTACAATTTTGTTGAGGAGTATTAATTTCTTATACTGTGGAAGATAGACGATTACTTCATGGGTCACAATGACCTATTTATAATTTCTATTTTCAAATTAGTTTTTAAAGTCGGCTAGAACAAGACAGTTTTAAACATTGTTAGTAAACTTCAGTTCATCTGAATCTGATAGAAAATAAAGATCAGCATATCAATTTCACTGTATTCAGTTGAAGATTTGATTGACAGCTCTATTTTTGGAAGTGAAATTGATGTCCTGTGTTAAAACGCCAAGGTCAAGCTGATCTGGTCACTCTCTAAGGCGATTTGGAAAATAGAATGTTGACAGAAATTGAATATGTCTACATTTATATTTCTCAGTTCGAAAATATTTATAGAAAATATGAACTTTCAAATCATTCTTGGCTACTAATATTAGTTGATTTGAGAGATTTTATTCATTATCATTCTCATTTAGAAGAGATTTTTAAGTTGTTTTCATGACACTTTTTGTCAAAGAATTTTTGCAGAAAGAACAAATTCAATACCTAAATGTTGATTGTCAGTTCGTTTAGGTGAAAAACATGATCATTCAGTGGAAACAACAAAACATTCCTACAATTACTCCAGGGTGTATTTACAAACATCATAAGTTAAACAAAAAATTAATAGTTAAATACTATTTGACAGGAGATTAAAGATTTACTGAATTACATGTAAGAATCCAATTTAATTCTTTATTTCGAATTTACACAATGCACTATAAAATAATGTTTCTGCTCATACATGTAAACCTTCAACTGATGCACTGAATACTCTATAGGCTGATTGGCTAAGACGCACTTGGCAAATTCGAAACTAGATTCTGGAAAACACAGTCATCATATTTTCACTGGCATTCTTACATAAATAAATTGATCTAACCTTAGCTTTTGTGTCACTTTTACTTATAAAAAATTTAATTTTTTAGAACAACCTCCTGATCATGATATTACATAACTTACCGAAGCCTAAGACATCAAACGCACATAGAGTTTAGCCTGTAAATATCAAAATATCTATCAAGTCCAGTTTTGCAGTTAACGTTTCTCCTTTCTGCGTCCTCTATAGATTAATCTCCCATTTGTAAAATTTTCTTTCTCGATTGAGTATCCCCTGGCTTATCACCTTCCTTGTCTCGCGATATCTCACAAAATAGAATTCCTACCTTTGGGTTTAGGTTTGTTGTATCCTGAAAGCACTTTCTTGTTGGAACATCAGTCTAGAACCTACCAATTTATGTGAACTAAGTGACATTAGATAAGGAAGTATATTAGAAGGTTAAAGTCCAAAAACAACATAAAGGTCAGTATCATAAATGTCTTATTCATAGCAATGGTCTATTCAAGGTCTGAATGTAGACCATGTGTGTCAAGGGGAATGTGAAGTCCTGTCAATAGGCATCTCCTGCTGGGTTCAATTTGTCATTTAATACATTGCATTGGCTCTGGAAATCTAAAATAGCTGATTACAAGACTACAATATCAATGACAATACCAAGTAAAAAAGACGTTTGATGTAAAAATCAAATCTTTCTTCAGGTCAACAAGTAAATTGCTTTAAATAGTTTTATCTAAAATTATTATCTATTTCAAGATTTATGAGAGCAATCATTTACATAGTTTGCACCTTCATATACGGACCTAGAAAATTACTTCACATTATTTATGTCAATATCAGTGTATTCTAGCAGTTACAGTGACCAGTGAGACATCTTTAAATCCATAGAAAGAATAGTCAAAATTAGGAAGAATGAACTCCATGTTAGATACAGGGTGTTCAGGGCCTAAGACACAATTGGTTGTTTTCTATCTAAGTCTTAACAAAATGAAGGTTCTATGAATAATAATAATATCATTTATTCATTTATTGTGGCTGTAATTAAAGACATTTGTAACTAGAACTGACCACATAAGGTTCACTTGTTTAAAATCAATAACAAATTATACATATATAAAACAAGTTTTAATATTAGGAGATATGTAACCAAGACCCTCACTGAAATATAAAGTATCGAATCACAATAAAAATGATAAGATTGAAATACATGTAAAAGAGTCTAGTGCATGGAATAAAATATGATGTACAATGATAATAATTGAGTCACTAAAATACAAAATATGGTGTCGTCAAAATAAACTAGTAGATTTTTCTCCACTGATTCTGCATTTTCAACAGGCAAAAAGCCAAGTGTAACAACAAACACTGATCAGCTGAATTTGAAAAAACTCTCAATATGATGAGGTCTCACTAGTACACCATTGGGGTCATTAATATAACAGAAACTTTTTTGTAAATTTAAGAATTTCTCAATAAATTGTTGTAACCATGGATATAATGACGTCTAGTTAGTATAAACAAACTACTCAATTAAATGAAGATGCAGGATCACCACAAAGCAATTTAACAAGACATCGATACATTAAAGTGTGTGCTTAAAAACACATGATGGATACATACGCAACAATTTCTTGAGTATATACATTGCAATTAAACCTACAATACAATGATTGATTATAGATATTCTGTACATTAAATGCAATACACAATTATACATGGTATTTTGAAACATTACTGACTTAAAACCCCATACGTACAGTATGTATACCAGCATATTTAAAAAATTTGAAGTACATGTATACGTATATAATACATGACTATACTTAAAGAAATATTGGTAAGACCTGAAGGCTTACCTGTACCGTATACTACATCCCACTATACAGGTAGCTTATTATACAATTTTACAAAATACTATCTATTTCATAGTACCATTTCAAAAGAATACCACATGAATATGGCACCATACTTCTATAGAACTATAAATAAATTGTATGTATACATATATGGCCCACTGCACCAGTTATACAGGGTGACCATAAATTCTCTTAACAATTACAATACAAAGTCTGTGTAAAGTGTAGACACTTATGGACACCCTGTACATTAATTGTACATATTACACTTTTATTATGCTACTCTGGTAATGTCTCATATCACCTCAAAAGTATATAATTTTGCATTGTGTCAGGCACTGGTAACTGCCTTACTGCATTAGGGAGGTAACGTTTACCCATCGATTTCCTAATATTAAACCTACATTGTTCATGTAGAGACCGGGGATTGTCAGACAGGGGCAGTAGAAGCTCACATAATTTATTATCCTGAGATATTTCTCTTGGAACTTGGTTATTCTCATTCCTTACCTGGAACTGACCATTGGCTTTTATTAACAAATGTAAGCATTCATCGTCATACTCATTATTCAACCCCGAGGCTTGAATACTTGCAGATCGTACTAACGGGGTTCTCCCATTGTAATTCAGGGTTGTGACGTCTGCATTGTATTCCAGTAATATTTTCATTGTATCAAGATTGCCTTTCATAGCAGCCCAGCTTAAAGGGGTGTCAAGGCCATAATCCAAGGCATCTGTGTCTGCTCCATTCAGACATAGGATCTCCACACATGAGACTTTGTCCTTAAATGCTGCCCAGTGTAAAGGGGTATCCTGATTAGCATCACGAATGTTAACATGGGCCCCACTTGCAAGAAGCAATTCAGTACATACAGGGTCACGTTCTGCTGCATAATGTAGGGGTGCTCTTCCATAGCCATCAATGGCATTAACCTACAACATGTGAATACAGTGCTTGTTAAATGTAGATTACATTTTACTGATATCTAGTGGATATTTTTTCGAGATCAAATGGTCTGTGAATAAATCCCTTTGAAGAGGAATGACTTAAAAGATACATGTATGCTTGATACCTCAAATATAAACATCCAGTATCTATTTTCAGCCTATCATTTCAGAGTTTTCCCTTCTGATAAAAATCTATAAAGAGTTGGATGTTGAAAAATGAAGACTACAATAAGAACCACTTACTATTTTGCCCTATCTAATGTTATATTTTAATTTAGCAATTTCATATCTTTTTCCAGGCCCGTAGCCAGGGGGGGGGGTTTCGCAGGATTCGAGCCCCCCCCCCTGGCCAAAATTTCTTTCAAAATCAAGCAGTTTTCATCATTTTGAGCACTTCTCAAGTGATTTTAGCCATATTTGGGCCATAATTGTCAAATGTGAACCCCCCCTGGAAATTTTTGAAAACTGAACCCCCCTTGGCAAATCCTGGCTACGGGCCTGTTCTCTATGTATATATGAATATTCAGAAAATATAAATTGACTTAATACAGCTTACATTGGCACCATTTTCTATGAGTAGCTCCACACAGTAGGCATCACTGACCATTGAAGCACATCCAAGAGGAAGTAGCGTACCATGACAATGATTCACATCAGCTCCAGCCTCAAGTAGATCTTCTATTTTGTCACCCGAATCTAGAAATAAGACATTCTTTTCTTAAAATGAAAAATATCATTTTCATGACTGCATGAATACTATGTCTTTTGTTTTCATAAATATTACATTCAAAATAGGTCTATTTAGTGTATTAGCCAGTTGCTAACCCGAACGCCACTGGGCGTCGTGGACCAATGGTTGTGATTGGCAGGTCAGTTCACAAATTAAAGGACAAAAAAAGTGTTCACATTGAGACTTGAGAAGTATTTAGATTAGAGAAATGCTCAAATATACAAGTTTTACTGTATATATCAGTGATCTCTAGTATTAGGAGCTCTAACCATCAAATGCAACATTTACTTTTTGATTTGAAAACACTATAAATGAAACAAACTCGTATTTTGTGAAAAGGTGATATTTTAATGACAAAGAAGGTGATTTCCCCAAAAATGAGCCAAAAGTAAGAGATCAAGAACCAATGAATTGGTGAGTATGGTGCCCTTTAAAATGGATATGCGCAGTAGTTCAGACAATAAGCCAGTTTTCATTTGTATTGTTGATGGATAGACTGACAGACATATGGATGGATGGGTGAGTCCAAAGGCTCACCATGTGAACAAAAACCTGTGAAGATTGCTGAATATGACAGTGACTTGATAACATTATTGAAGTTATTTTCACCTGTCAAAGATTGCCAATCGCTGATTGTTCGAATAAGTCTCTCTGATAAATGGTATGTTTCTTGTGTCTTTGCCATTCTGTGATACATCCCCAACCCTCCTCACCCATCTGAAATATAAAAATCAGAACATTTAAACAGAAGCCTGGGAACAACAGAGATGATCAGGCCCGTAAGACACTTTTCTCCAAGGGGGGTGCAGTTTTTAGCTTACTAAAGAGAATATAAAATTGTCAATTTTTTTGCCGCGTAAATCAAATCGCGTAAGTCAGATGGGGGGGGGGGGGGGGCTCAGTTACTCTCTATATTGGTTTGGAATTAACAAATGTAACTTCCAAACGTTCCAATTGTTTTGTGGGGATCGTGAGGAGTGGTCCACTCCCCCTAGAAAATTTTACACTTTTGAGATGCTATTTGGTGCTTTCTGGGAACTTTCAAAGTGTAAGTTTCCAAGTAGTACGCCACCACCACGGGAATAAGAGTTGAGTGCATAAAAACTGAGCATTCAGGGGAGTCTGGGGTCCTTCCCCAGGAAAATTTTGAAATTTGGTTGTATTTGGAGCGAATTTGCAACCATCTGGTACGCCTCTGCGTTATGAGTCAATAAGAAAAATGTATAAATATATATTTTTTTCAAATTCTTTTGGGGGTGTCAAAGAGGATGAGAGGGTGAAGTGGGGTGAGGTGCCAGTAGGAGAGCAAGGGGTTGTCCCCCAGAAACATTGACCATATCAAGGTGCTATTTGATGATGTCTGGGCACTTAAGAAATGTCTGAGACAATACATGAAATTCAGAATATTTTCTTTTGTTTTTTGGGGGATGTGAGGGGTGGCTAACTCTCCTAGAAAATTTTACAATTTAAAGATGATATTTCGTGCTTCTGGGCACTTTTAAAGTGTATTAGTCAATAAAAACATTGAAAAACAATCACAATTTTTTTCAAATTTTGGGGGTGTCAAGGGGGGGGGGTGCCAGAGGGGGAGGTGGGGCTGGGGTGCCAGAGGGGGAGCAAGTGTTTGTCCACCATATCAAAATTTACAATATCAAGGTGCTATTCGATGAAGTTTGGGCACTTTAAAAGTGTCTGTGCGTAAAAGTGCCTATTTCCCAAGAAAATTTTACAATTTTAAGGTGCTATTTGGTGCTTTCTGGGCACTTTCAAAGGGGGGTGTTAACTGTTAGGGGGGGGGTCTGCCAGAGGGGGAGGTGGAGTGGGGATGCCAGAGGGCGAGTAAGTGTAAGTCTTCCAGAATCATTAACTTTATCAAGGAGCTATTTGATGATGTCTGGGCAATTTAAAAGTGTCAACACATAAAACAAATTCAGAACTTTTCCATTGTTTTGTTTGGGGTGTGAGGGGTGGCCCACTCCCCCTAGAAAATTTTACAATTTTACAACGCTATTTGGTGCTTTCTGGGCACTTTCAAAGTGTATGAGTCAATTAAACAATTTGAGAAAATCACAATTTTTTTTTTTTGGGGGGGGGGGGTCAAGGGGGGGACGCCAGAGGGGGGGGGGCGCCAGAAGGGGGGGGGCGCCAGAGGGGGGCACCAGGGGGGAGGGGGTTATGCAAGTGCAAGATGCAAGAGGGGGAGCAAGTCCCCCAGAAACACTTACTATATCAAGGAGCTATTTGATGATGTCTGGGCACTTTAAAAGTGTCTGAGACAAAACACTAAAATAAATTTAGAACTTTTCCATTGTTTTGTGGGGGTGTGAGGGTTGGCAAATGCCCCTAGAAAATTTTACAATTTTAAGATGCTATTTGGTGCTTTCTGGGTACTTTCAAAGTGTATGAGTCAATGAAAAAAATTACAAAAAAATTTTTTTTCAAAATTTTTTTTCAAATTTATTTTTTTGGGGGGGGGGGGTGCCAGAGGGGGAGGTGGGGCTGGGGTGCCAGAGGGGGAGCAAGTGTTTGTCCACCATATCAAAATTTACAATATCAAGGTGCTATTCGATGAAGTTTGGGCACTTTAAAAGTGTCTGTGCGTAAAAGTGCCTATTTCCCAAGAAAATTTTACAATTTTAAGGTGCTATTTGGTGCTTTCTGGGCACTTTCAAAGGGGGGTGTTAACTATTAGGGGGGGGGGGGGTCTGCCAGAGGGGGAGGTGGAGTGGGGATGCCAGAGGGCGAGTAAGTGTAAGTCTTCCAGAATCATTAACTTTATCAAGGAGCTATTTGATGATGTCTGGGCAATTTAAAAGTGTCAACACATAAAACAAATTCAGAACTTTTCCATTGTTTTGTTTGGGGTGTGAGGGGTGGCCCACTCCCCCTAGAAAATTTTACAATTTTACGACGCTATTTGGTGCTTTCTGGGCACTTTCAAAGTGTATGAGTCAATTAAACAATTTGAGAAAATTTGAGAAATTTTTTGGGGGGGGGGGGTCAAGGGGGGGGACGCCAGAGGGGGGGGGGGGGGGCGCCAGAAGGGGGGGGGGGCGCCAGAGGGGGGGGGGCACCAGGGGGGAGGGGGTTATGCAAGTGCAAGATGCAAGAGGGGGAGCAAGTCCCCCAGAAACACTTACTATATCAAGGAGCTATTTGATGATGTCTGGGCACTTTAAAAGTGTCTGAGACAAAACACTAAAATAAATTTAGAACTTTTCCATTGTTTTGTGGGGGTGTGAGGGTTGGCAAATGCCCCTAGAAAATTTTACAATTTTAAGATGCTATTTGGTGCTTTCTGGGTACTTTCAAAGTGTATGAGTCAATGAAAATAATTACAAAAAAAATTTTTTTCAAAATTTTTTTTCAAATTTATTTTGGGGGGGTGACAAAGGGGGGTGCGGTCGCACCCATCGCACCCCCCCCCCCATCTGACGGCCCTGATGATGTATTCTCAACCCTCCTTGTGAAGTTCGGAGACTAGGAATGATACATCCAAAACCCTCCTCTCCCACCTTCAATATCACAATGCAGCCTCTTATAATTTAGGGAGTTTCAGCCATTACAGGGTGTGATGATGTAATGGTTCACCCCTTCAAGTTTCATGCTTCACTTAATTGCATAAGAACTCTGAGTGTTTGAATTTCTATTCATAAATGTTGAGTGAAACTTGTTTTATGTATGACCAAAGGTCATTAGATTACTTTGGAAGTTAGAGTTGAGACACTGAAGTAGTAACAGTGAAATGTGCAATAAGAATGAAGAAATATTAAGTTTGATTTTAGATAAGAAAGTAAAGTTTTATGTATTTATTTATCATGAGGTGTTTAGATACCTTTTAACATCTCTACACAGGGGAATACCCTATTCCTGAATTCATAGAACCTATCTCTATATAATAAAGATAAACACTTAGGAGGTTCATCTTTACACGGATATGAGGTCATCTATGAATTCTGGGCCGTATTTCCTCCTCTTAAGCAATGATATTTTTTCAAAAATAACATGTCATAGAAGCATCAAAATACATGAGGTCACACATTTCATTGACAAAATCACAAGCAACAGTAAATACTCAATTTAAATATCATTCAAAAATTACTTGGGAGAATTGAAATTATATGAGAAATGAAACAGCTATTTCACAATTGAGATACAATATACTACATTTTAGACACTATTCTAGGGGCTTAGGCCTTTGTCTATCAAAAATTAATAAATATATGGCTGAAGGGAGGCATCAAAAGTTCGATTTAGGTTCAAAAACTAAATAATCTAGTTTTAAGTTTGACGCCCCCCCCCCCTCCCTCCCCCAAAACTAAATACCATGAAAGTTGATCACGGAACAAAATGTGTTCATGTTGGATCAATACCATCGATACAATGAAATAACTAATTCTCAGGCAGTGAAAACGAGAACCCTTTACTTCTGGTTTGAGAATTTGAAAAACTATTTCTGAAAATTAAAGGCCCCATGTAAAGTTTAAACCACTTTGGCTTATATTGTAGTCTTACCCAATGTTATCAAAGTGTGATATGTGAAACTTTAAACTTTTTCTTTTAATTTCAAAAAGTGGTTTTTGATAGACTTTTTGTTCCAAAATTTGTGAATTTATTTAAAACCAACTTTTAGAGGTCACTCATATCTTCTAATTAGCCACAATTCATACCAATGCATAGCATTCATCCTCCCATGTTTTTTGCCGAAAAAATTAAGAAAATCGGTTGATAAACAAGCGAGAAATGAACTTATCAGTGCATGAAAATGGTTCTGAGATAAATGCATTTCAAAATTTTAGTTCTCATAGAAACCAATGGTACAATGATACCTAAAACATAATTTATTCTTCCTTTTAACCTGGTTAGACAATCAACATTGGTTTTTTATGAAAGTCTAGCATATTTAGAAAAGATTGACATCCAAAATTTTTTTTTAATTTTTTTCAAAAAGTTTTTGTTACCTTAGTGACATCACTAATGTTTCAAAATATTTTTGATATGCTAAAACATTGAAGTGGCCCATTAAATATGGCATTTTATTATTGAAATAGTGTGTCCTTTGTTCAATCTTTGCATTGGTGTTAAAAAGATAATCTTTTTTGAAATGCATTAAGAAATATTTGATGATTAAGAAATTTCAACTTTTTTTGAAAAATGGCGGGAAATTTGAATATTTGAGAAATGAAATGCTCACAACTTCTTTTTCAAAATTCTTTTTTGTTCAAAAATCTCTAAAATCACTTTTTGAGTCCTGACAAATAGTAAATGAATGATAAAAAAATATTTTCAAACTTTAGACGGGACTTTAACAACTATCATTGATAGCATATTTATTAAACCATTCGAGGGCAACTGAGTCAAAATTGCAAAAAAATGAATTGTTGAAATTAGGCGGCCCTAACTAGATTTATCTAGTTTTCGATCTGACATCAAACTGTTGATGCCTCCCCTACAGGCCCTTAGCCAGTATTTTTCAAGTGGGGTCGACTTTTAGAAAATGTTCATGTAATTTTTTGCCCGTGTGCGCGCAACCACTTCCATTTTCACTTCAAATGTATCATGCTTTGATTTTGCCTCTAAAAATGTACGAAGTTGCATAAATAGTTTAAACTCTAGTTTATTATAAATTTTATTCCACCTTATATTTAAAGGCCCACTTTGCGTATGTTCAACATTTTTGGGCAAAATAGAGACTTATATTTGAATTTCATAGTATG